AGAATAACTCAATATCATTTTAATAATTATTTAATAGTTTTGAGTATAAGTCGTCAATCTACTGTAATACAATTCTCTTCACAGCTTCGACCATCATACAGACATACAGATAATAGTCAAACAATGATAGCTATATCACAGATGGTTTAGCTATTAAGTATTCAAATATAACAAATCATGTCATATACCGAATCAAATCATACATTATAAATCTCTATATGAATTACTTTACAAGTAAATATTCCAGACTCTGGAATTATTTACCTCAATCTATCCGTAAGATAAAATCACTGTGATCCCTTGTTTGTTGTATCGATGCTTACGTCTCCTCTGAAAATGACTTTACTGTTCTTACACCTATAAATGCCCCCGAATGCCCTGGTACGGCCGAGAATGTGGAGAGTCCGCTCTCCCTCTCCAAACGTTCTCACATGACCATGTCAATATATCCTCTGCCAGAGAAGTCCTAATCACTGCCTTCTCGTGGCGGGGGTGATGTTTACAAAATTGAGAGGACGAAAAACGAATGTCCGGCACATTAACCGGGTTGGTGGACAAGGAGAGTATACTTAGGGAAGTTGGAAAACCATGATTCCGAACCAATGGTGCACATGGGCTCCAGTATCCTGAAGGAACAAACGGCCTAGGAACCAATCGTCGGTCACCGGCTACCATGGGACTGCATGTCCTTACGTTGCTCCACTGCCTTGTGGATTAGACATTTAGGTCAAGGGCTCCAAGTGTGGCCCCCTCAGAAAACCACCTGCTTCGGTTCGGGCACCCGGGTAGTATCACAGCCCTCACACAAATCAAATGAGATTTGTGTGGCGCATATGTATTTTGTGCCTCCTTGTACTAATATCTATGTGTTTAAATAAATAAATAAATAAATAACACCTGTAAATATATCTTATAGGAACTTTGAACGTTTAATCGTTTTTATTACTGAACCCACTAAGTACACCTAACTACATACTTTTACTTTACACTAATACCGTGCCTGACAACCTTAAATATTTTGAATAAATTCTAAAGTATATAACCTGGCACACGTATTATAGTAGACCACACTGATCTATCGTAGTAGTTATTGCTTTTGTTGTTCTGTGCTCTCTGCTTCTGTTTTATTTTCTCTAGTCGTTATGGTGCAGAAAATGACTTTAAATACACCATCCATACATCAATGAGATGTTCACTTAAAAAGAATAAAAAGGTCCTGGATGACGCCTTTCATTGATACAAAACATGTGAAAAATGTACTACCTAATCAATTTTTGAACGAGGACACTTCAGAAAACTAATATCACATATCTGTCCTCTACTATCTATATCAAACTAATCATACATGTAAACTGGCATGAATTCTGTAACTATTATTTTCAAGATATATTTATATGTATGTAATTGCTATTATCTTTTCAATTTGTTTCGCTTACAATTGTCGCATAAACCATCGTTTTTATTACCGTAACTTTTGCTTCTACCAGCTAATTACTGACCTTAGTCTCACTACTCTCCAATTCCACTTAACGACAAAGGTAGTTGAAAGTGATTGCCGGAATATACTATGTAGAATTGTGCATATGAATTTACGGCAATACAACAACACGAAAAATATAATTTGTGCCTACATTACCTGACGTATCTAATATGATTTTGTATTTAGTAGTATTTATTTTTTTATGAATATTCATGTTAAATTTAAAGTGTGGCAGATGGCTAAGATAATTAAAAATGTAAATATGCTGATTGTGTTTATGGGTAGATACGCAAGAAACCTCTGGCTTTAGTCTCAGCCTGAGGAAAGGATATTCACCTCAGGGCACTTTTTAAAACTAAATTTCTCGGTACCTACCAACTGTCACTGACTTCTCGATTAGTTATTATTAGTGATTGAATATATGATTATGTAACTGTCAGGAATGTCATAAGAATAATGTTGGTAACCTAGTTTATACGTTCAGCATAAAACATAGATAATTATCGTGACAGGACTAATCAATATATATATATATATATATATATATATATATATATATATATATATATATATATATATATATATATATATATATATATATATATATATGAAAACAATGATAGCTAACAATCATATACCAATACATAATACGGTCATTACTGCCAACAGTTTAGCCATTATTACCATCATTAATATTATCATCAATGTTTGTCATTGAACAATTTTGATATTACAGCCTCATTAAAAATGACACAACGAGTAAATGTTTAATTATAGTGTTTAGCATTATTCATATGAAATATGAACAAATTAAGGTTAATAATACAATGCGCAATTCAATTATTTTGCTAAATATGATCGGTAGAATTAGAATAAAAACAATGCTAAAGGCTGATCAGGATTGATCTAACAAAACTATAAATAAGTATATATAGAAATAGAGCGATTAAAATTTGTTGGCTATTCATATTCAATGTTAAGTCATTTCTCATATGAAGTCTCACCGAAATTAATGACTAATATATCAGTGAGATATCAGTTTAAAAAATGTACAACAGTACATTTAAATAAGATTTTGATTTTTTTAAAAATTCTGTGCCACATTTTAATAACCGGATTAAGTTATTTCTTTTTGTTTAATTGTAAAAGTTATCATTATTATGTCGCTAAGTGATTATACTCTGACACTGGGACCATAAAAAGAAAATAATACATTGATAACTTTACTCAGAATAAGCTTAGTAATGTATGTATTCAGTAGTATTTAAGGAAAGATAACTTATTCACTAAGTTGAAATTTCCTTCAGTTAGATTAGCATTAGATAACTGTTTTCGTGAAGAACCAGTATTTAATTCAGTTAAACTTATGCTACTTATCGCTGATGAACAACATTATAACTTATTAGTTTGAAATACAAAAAATGTTTCAGCAAAGCTCACTTATTTTATTGACTTAGTCGTATACCATATTGAGAATTTAAAAAAACAAACAACATTAACAGGTAAAATTTAAATATAGTTAAATCAGTTACCTTTTCTACAGATAAATATAAATCTACCATTATTACTTTCTTGGGTAGGTGATACTGGTAATTTACAATATATAATGAGAGGATTGATGGGTCATTATTAGGATTTATTTTTCAAATCACGAACCTTTCTCCATGTTTACCTAACCACAGTATACAGTTTTGATAGAATCAGACCAATATAAAATAGAGACAGTTCATTTTATAGGAAATACAGATAAATAAATATAACCGGTATCTTGCTATTGACCCCTGGAGATCTTTATAATGAATCACCCTGATGGGATTTCTATTCCTCATCGAAAATGAAGTAAAACAAATAGTTAGAAAACAACAACTTTGATCCAATAAAAGATTAATAATACAACCTAGGGGTAGGTACTGAAAAGGTGTCAAGTTTTCCGAGTCTAATTAATTTAACTGGAAATACAACAATACTGCAAAATGTGTCTCAGCAATGAAGGCGATCAACCCTGATCCACAACGCAGTGGATTGAAACCTATTCCAATTGGGGATGAGTAGTCAGAAAGTGTCATTGGATATTAGAAAACAGATGTGATTCACAGTTTAAAACATAAATGCACGACGAATTCTTAAGTTGCATCATATGGATCAATAACTACATCTATAAAGGGACAAAAACTGTATTACGTGTAATTAAACATAGACAGGGTCTTCAAGATTAGATACTGTGAAGAATTTTGAGTGTAAGGTTGTGGAGATGATTGAATTTTATTGAAATGATGATCCGATGTAAATTAGGCAACCATTGAAAACTTGGAAGCACTGGACGGAGAACAGCTGAGGAGTCCCATGCTAAGGTGAAAGGCCGTTTAGTGCTTCCAGGTTGTTCACATATTTATTGTTTTGATATGAACATCTTCAATAGTACCCATGATCAAATAAAGAACTAAAATGTCATAATGAGAAAATGAATTACCACATAGGATTGGTAATATCTAACAATTAAGGATAAAGTTTTTAAGTAATCTTTGAGTCTTACATTTTATTGAGATTTTGAGCTGATCAGAAGAAGACCTGATGAAGCTTAAAATTGGGGTAGAACGAGCAGTTTTCAGAGTGCATAGTTTATTCAGCTGATGTAACTAACAAAAATATATAGATTTGGTAATAATGGAATTCTTCCAAGGCAAAAAGATTTGCAGTAAGCTCCGACAGTGGCTTTTATGACAGTAGAGTTTTATTATCGAGCTTATGAGTTCTATCAAAAAGTAAAATCTAAAAATAAATTGACTCATTCACTAGAACTCGGATATGGGCTACAATAAGTACATGGAGCAATGACACTATTCGACTGTTCAAACAGACGTAGGTAGAGTGGGGTTCGGACCCAGGACCTAATGGCTGGAAAACAAGCCCTCCTAACCACAAGGTATTTCACAATAAAACAATAAAATATATCTCATCCTTATGAATGAAACTTCACGATGCATTGAGAATGTTTTGAGAGAAATAACAATATTTACTATTAAACAAATAAAAGGAACATTATACGAATATTCGTCAATATTAGAACAAATAGTTTGACAGAAATTGAACGCCGATTATAGAGAAGACATTATGTGTGATTATGTTTGAAATAATCTCGGCGGCTGAAATTTAAGTAATTACAACGTTTGGTCCAAAAAACTTATCTAGACTTCTTCAAGATCATAATCAAAATCAAAATTATCAGAGAAACGTATAGTGTTTAACTATCAAACCAAATCTATGCTGTGCTTATCCAATCATATTCAGATGTTGACTTTAGTAAGTAGGATAACAGTTATATGTGAATCATGTGAAAAGTTCAGACTGTGAAGATAAATGAATGAATTGTGCGTGCGCATGTGTAAGTTAACATTATTCGATTCCTAGAGAGTGTAAGAGGGAATGTAGATAAGCATTAATAGTTCTTATAGCAAATATATATTAATTTAAATAAGAATACTTCGAAATAAAAAAAAGAAATTAATAGTACGAAGCTTACTTATTGAATGAGCTGTAGGAGTTTTCATAAACCACTGAACCTGATCCTCCACCTCCACCACCACAGTCTGCGGATGATTTGCTTATACTGGCTGCTTCATTTAATTCTGAATTCAATAGATTCACAGATGGAGAGCCCGTAAAATTCAATGTCGACATTTGTACATTTGCATCGTTTAATAATAATAATTGATTTGCTTCTAATTGCTGTTGCTGCTGAACAGCTAATAAATTTCCTGGGGATAAATATGACTGCATAGAAGGTGGGATGGTCGAACCAGGCCGTGATGTACGACCATATGTACCGAAACCTTGAAGATATGATCCATTTGATAGAGTATGACCATTTACTGTGGGATTTTGCATTAAACTGTTGGCAGCCACAGCAGCAGCTAGAAGTTGTTGCTGTTGTTGTTGTTGCTGCTGTTGCTGACGTAATTGTTGTTCCACCAAACCAACTTGATGTTGAGCTAATAGTTTAGCTTGTTGTAATTGAAGTAATTTATTAGTCTCAGCATTCAATAAAGCAGCTATTAAAAAAGACAACAACGTGTAAGTAACAGTTGGGATTATATGTCAAAACCAAATAATGTACTTCAAAGTAATGTTCTATCTTACAAGAAATGAAAGTAACAGGTAAACGTTGAAGTTCAACGATTATGTGCAAGAATTCAAGCTAATGAATGAATTATTTACCTAGCTTTTACTGAAGTTAGGATACGTAAAGAAAAGAGGAATTAGTGAAATCAAGTTTGCAATACATGTGTTGAGCATTTCAGGAAGATGAAAAAGTGACGAGATTGTGTTATAGAAACGTGTCAACATGACACTATATTTTGAGCATTACATGGTTATCTTTCGGAATGAAATAGTAAGAAAGGTCTCACATCTAAAGTATAATCAATAGCAAAGACACAAACTTCTGAGCTACACAATGCTTTCCATGATAGTATATCAAAAAGAAGGGGCAGATAAATTCACGACTACACTTTCACAATCAAATAACAAGAGTTTATATCGATAACAATATACAAAAAATCTCGTCTTTGATAAATAATCTACCAAGGACATAATCATTTTAAGTATTTTTGTGGCATAGGGTAAAAAACATCCATAGGAACTGACCGTACTGTCTGAAGACCAAAATTTTTCGTTGAAAGGAAACAAAGTAAATTTAATGACGAATAGTATCGATGAATATGCAATAAGATGGAATAATTCTTGGTGAAGAAAAAAGAACAGAATACGTGTTTCATAAAGAGAAACGTCATAACAAATGAAGATTGTTCGATAGATGGCTGGAAAGAGAGCCTAACGAATAAATGGCCTTACGCCTTTTAACTCTTATGGAGGAGCATAGGCCGCCCACCAAGCATAGAAGGGAGCGAGATGAACTGAAACTGCTTTTTCTATCTTATATCAATCAAAAGGGGAATAAAATCATATTAAAAATTAGGGATGAGAATAAGCTTATAGTGAAGGAAATGCCTAAAATCTAATTTTCTTCAGTTGGTCTACTATAATCACTTTTTGGTAAAAAAGGAACAAAAGTGCAGTTAGAGAATAAATGGTAGATTAACTTTAACAGATCAGTTGATTTTCATGTGATGTTATGAATGATACCAAATCACTAGCTAAACTATGACAGATGATCTACGGTAAAAAGTTGTTGCTGGCAAATTGAAAGCCAACGAATTTAGTGTACATGTTAAAACAAAAATTTATTAAATGTGTACAATTTTGAGATATACAATGAAATAAAATTATCCATATGAAAGTAAAGAATATGAAAACAGACTAATCCATTTTATTTTCGATTACAATTTATTACTTTTTTGGTTCAACCTGTCCATGATCATATATTCATGGAATGTACAAACATGGTAATTATTAACTGGCGCACTTAATATGAGAGATTAACTCCTTCATATCAAGAATATATTGAGATAATTTAAAAACAGGAACAACTAATTTGTAACGATCCAAGTAACAAAAACGTGATTTAAATATCAGTGTATTCAAATCGATACATACCAGCTGGTAACAAATCGCAAGCATACAATAAACAACAGAGGACTAAATAAAATTGTAGCTCTAAGTTATGTATTTTATCAACCAGACAAATGAAACATTGGAAGATATAAATATTCATTTTATTCAAAAACAAACAACCACTGTATTAAGACTTCCTGTAATTATTAATTTATACCTGTATAGAAAACAGAAATTTCAAATTATATATATATATATATAATTCTAAACCTCTGAACGAATGGATTTTTTTAAAGAGAAACGGGCCAAAACATTTGTTGTTAGCAGGTACAGTTGTTGAGTTCGACTTTTCCGGATGGTTGGTAATCTTGTTTGAAACAATTGTTCACATGTTCATAAAATATGTATCGACATATAACGCTGAGAAGTTTTCACTTTTATATGTCGAATAAATAACCCGTTTAATTGGTTTACAGATAGTCTACATAATGTCGGGCGTTAATATGAAGATCATTGTTTGAAATTAGTAAGAATGGTTAAGAGAAACGGATAGTTTATGACGTAATATGCAACTATGCTGAGTTGGTGAGTCGTAACTCTCCATAGTGAAGAGTGTTATTTCTGTTAGCTTAGAATTCGCTAATGGTATACCCCTTCAATTTTAATGAACAATGCAAAATATTCGGATATTATTCAGAGGGAACCAATTCCAGATCTGTACTTATTTTGCAAAATCTCGGTTAACTTTTACTCATTAATGATTCCAATTAACGTCACTAATTCGTTAACAATGACGGGACTGAAGTCTAAAATCAAGTGACTAATATTCTTGAATTTCTAATAGTTAGGAATTTCATGTGAACTCTGGATTAACACAATCACTCAACATGTAATAATTAAACTGAAAACGACATGTCCATAAAGAAATAAATACTAAATAATTTAAGGTAATTACAATGAATAAAATGTATCATACTGAATAATCTGACTAATAGAATTATGTTTTTTTATAAAGAAATATAAGGAAAAAACAAGAGAAAGAAAGATACATTGGTCAGTAGACAAGATAACCAAAATTGAAAATCATATGATTATTTATACAAGCATTGTTCCATATAGCAAATAAATAAGGACAGAGAAAGCGTGTTGAACAACAAACGTCAGTGAGATAACTAGCTGAGTAATCATATTGATTGAAAACATCTAATACACTGCATAAGAATCATTGGAAATGAAAAATATCCAAAAATGATATTAAAAAACAAATAAACAAAACATGAATTCAATGACAGGTGGTTTAACTTGTTTATTTAAGTAAAGCAATAAATAAGAAACTATAAGAAATTCGAGTAATACATTAAAATATATGAAATATTACCTTTTTATTAGGCTCATTTTAATTGCATAGGTGACTTTATGGGTGTTGTATGTGATTTGAAGGTGATTTTCGTAAAGAACAGAAAAAGGTTGGAGAACCGATAAGAACTAATAAACCACAAAACTACAATTCTATATAAACTTAGAATTTACAGGCAGGAAGAGCCCTCGCTATTAAATAGTATTAAACACAATACTTTCAGGTTTCACAGCATGGAAAACAAGATTTAATTTGTGTCAAAAATGAATTACAGGTCCAAGCGATAACTACATCTTAATTTTATTTCAAGCGTCTCAAGTCCTAAGGGTAACATTCAAATAATACAAACCCTAGCCGGTTAGCATTGCACGTCGTGCTAATCGGTGTTTGGGCATACATAACACGTGGCCCAACCATCTCAGTCGATGAAAATTCACAACCTCATCAACTGATTTACCATCGTTCCCTAATACCCTGCGTCTAACCTCACTATTACCAATCCGTTGATCCCAGCAGACGCCAGCAATATTTCTAAGGCATCTGTGGTCAAATACTAGTAGCTTACGAGTGCCTTCTACTCTCAATGGCCATGTTTCGCTGCCGTAAATTAAAACAGAACGGACTGCCGCGCAGTATACTCGTCTTTTTATTGATAGACGGATATCTCGCCTTCGCCATAGGTGACGTAAGTTGGCAAAAGCCAAACGAGCTTTTCGAATCCGTGCTGAGATTTCGTCAGACACCAACCCATTAGGGCTGATCAAACTTCCAAGACAAGTGAAGTTGTCAACGCGTTCGACTACTTCACTCAGTATCCTTAGTTCAGGTGTTAACGCAGGCCAGTCCTGAAGCAACAACTTCCATTTAGAGGGAGAGAAGCGCATTCCAAACATTCTGGCATTGTTGCTCAGCGCTACCAAAGCACTCTGCATTCTATCGGCGTCTTCACCAAACAGGACTATGTCATCTGCGTATTCTAAGTCGATAAGTGGACCTCCCGGAAGGAGATCAATACCCGAGAATTCAGTAGACGAGAATGTAATTTCCATCAATAGGTCTATGATGAAGCTTTCTGTAAAATTCATCTTTCACTTCATCTGAGCTGCAGTCAGTGGGAGTGTAGGCAGAAACGACAAAAAGGCAACGACGTGTGTCCCTATCCTTCCGAGTTCTTACGGAGCCGTTTAGCCGAACAGCACATAAATGACTGTTAACGGAGATCCGTTCTAACATTGCTTGTTCCGCCCTCATGCTTAGTGCTATCCCTACTCCTGCCAGTCCACGAGAGCTGGCCATTGCGTCACCAGATAAATCCAGGGTGTATCTCGTTGGCTCTCCGTGTTGCCGAGGTGAGGTCAAGCGAACAGCAAAGGGAAATTACTAAAGCTGAAAGAGTAGACATATACACTATACGATACATGCAGATTTATTAAAAATAAGTTTTATTTAGTAAAGAAATGGGACTATAAACTGTTCCTATAGATTCTTATAATCACATTTTGCTAACAAAGACAATCCAAATAATTCGACAAAACCAAAAACCCAAAACACTACAAACTTTGAAATAGACAAATAAAGGCTAAGGACAAAAGAAAAACTTAATAGCGACAGGAATGAAAATGTATTTTGAGTTACATAAAGAATGAAGTGAATGAAATTTTATGGTGCTTTGACAATAATTGTTAGAAACAAGCTGAATCTATTGTCTATCTTAAGATCCAGAATAAAAGATTAAATATTGTAAATTATTCACTAAAATGAATTATATGTATAAAAATTAACAAACTACACATTTTAGTTCATCAAATGGCACATTTTGATTAGTCCCACATAGAATAAGAATAGTAATTGACTGTTATACGCAACCAGAATTAATGCGAGAGAAGCACTTTCCAAGGGGTTAAATTTTATTAGATTTATTACGCTATGGTACTCGTACCCTTGAGAAAATTCGAACTGTTTAGGAAACATGAAAGGTGAATTGTTGAGATGTAGTCAGATTTTCTTAATGTATTGAATGACATGAATTAAGCAAACAAGATAAATCAGGATGTACTAATATCTGTTCATAGAGAAGTAATGTTGCCGTAGGTAAGTGTTTCCATATGAAATTACACAGTAATGTTAATGTCATTTCCGTGTTACAAATTGATTAATAACTGCACTATTAAATATAAAGAC